AGAAATTTTCCTGTTTCTTAATACTTTATTTAATTTTTGAAAAGTATTTTTGGTGTTCCAATGCACCTCCTGATTTCGGTGTTTTCCACTCTCTGTTAAAACACTTCCAAAATATATAAACTCATGTATTTGTTTGGTTTTGACTTCTCCAATTTGTAGTTCGCATCTTTGGCCTTTTCTCTTGCCGACAACCACGCATTGTGCCTTCTTACAGTTGATAGTCCTTTCTTCCCGATTTCCTTTAGTACCATGTCTAAAAGGTATTGTAGCTTTCTTTCTGCGTCTGCAATTTTATGTGTCATCTGCGTATCTCATGTTGTTAAGATTCTGCTCACAAATAATAAATCCAGGTAGGATCTACCAACGACCAATACTATATATGTTTTAAAAATAACAAAGAAGGAAATAATGGTTAAAAAACAAATCTATGGAAATAACTTACCTCAGGACTTCAGATAACACCAGGAAAAACCAAGTATCGGTCAAACGTCTGCGTTAAAAAGAACGAAAAGGAAGATAGAAGTCTGAAAAATCTTTGGCCATGTTTATGTATATATTTCCAAAAGTTTACATTTCGTTGTTTCTTTTTTTTATTTTTTCATTTCACCCCAAACAAATCAATAAAGCGACTAACCCACAGGTGTGTGTGTGTGTGTGTGTGTGTGTGTGTGTGTGTGTGTGTGTGTGTGTGTGTTTAGGGGGGGTACTTAGAATTAAAGAATATGAGGAAAAGCATTATTAATGAGAGAGGGCAATAAAAGATCAGGATTCAAGGAGACAAAAGATGATGGTTAACATTGAAATTTAAATTGTTGAAAATTAAAGTTGACTGGCAAGCCAGAAGAGAGTTCCACTAGCGAAAAGTGCGATAGAAGAAACTATTAGCATAGAACTTACGGTTGCATATAGCCATTTCAACTGTAAAATGATGAGACCTTTCCACTAATCTGCTACTGGCGTTAAAGTCATAAAGTCTAGGTACTATAGCGGGAAGTTCATCAGAACAATTGTTATGAAAGTATTTGTAGAAAAGGCAGAGGAAGGCTACGTCACGGCAGTGGGAAACTGACTGAAATTAAGATATCTGGTCAGCACTAATAACATTGCATAGTCTTCTGTGTATTTTATCAAGAATCTCAAGATATTTAGTAGAAGCACTAGACCAGATTTGACAATATTCAATGCATGGATGAATGGTAGGCTGTAAGATAAATTCTGGCGAGAAAAATTGTTTAGAACGACACCGTGAACTAACTTTCTTAGCAGCAAGTCTAGCAATTGGTTCAATATAATCGTTCCATTTCATATCAGTGGTAAGTGTTAGCCCAAGAAAGTGCAACGTGTCACTCTCTTGGAGGTTAGCATTAGCCATGGTGATGAAAAGCAAAAAAAAAAACAAAAAAACAAAAACGAAAAACAAAAAAAAACAAAAACGTTTCTCTAAGGCGATTCTACGTCAATTTTACGCATAGCTTTGCAATATGCCTGTGTCCCTGGCATCGATAACTTATTAACATCAGATGCTGCAAAATATGGCTAACTGCTTCAGTCATATTTCTTTCTCGTTATATTTTTGTCTTGATCCTTTTTCTCTTTGACATCAATTTCCTTTCGAAATATTCTTTTTTCCTTTCCTAATTCCAAGGCTGTCAACATTCTGTTTCCTAAACTGCACTTTCGTTTTCCACGTTCCGCTTTCAGTTCCCGTCTGCCAAATTCTCTCCCTCCTCCGCTCTTTCGAATTGTCTCGGTGCCTGAGTCATTTTTATCCTGTCATGGCCCGTCCGCTTGGTCTCTCACTGCATACAGCCAGTGAAAATGGCAGTATTTAAAAGACATTAATTTCACAAAGCTCATTTACGATTTTTCAATCCACACGTTTTTCGTCTGGTGCGAAACAGCAGATCGCCGTTAACACTCTTCTGTAAAGATGGTGAGGAAAGCATTGATAGGAAAAGCTAGTCTTGGACCAGTGACGTTCTATTCAAAGTTTCCGAAAAGAAGAGACGTCACTGACTAAGTGAGATTAATAGAGTCAAAATCGAAAGAAAGAGAAGCTGAGGCGAAATATCTTAAAAGATAATTGCTTACGTTCATAGATGGGAGCACGGATAGAGAATGACAGGCGATAAAGAAAAAGATTTATAGAGAAAAACGATTGAAAAAACATTCGAAAGAAAAAACGGAGAGATTGGGAATTAGGAGAAATAAAAAATAGACGCCGATGAAATGAGTAAGGGTAAGAAATTGAAGGGTAGCAGACGGCGAGATTTCAGGAGAGGCATCTTTATATAAATAAATAATGGCGCTAAGTGGATACGTTTGGAAAGAAATGGGGATGGAGACGGCATAATTACTGGACGCGCTTGATTGCGTGCGGATATGCTGGTAGGTAGGTAAGAAGATTAGTTTACGTGGAGAGGCGGCAAGATTTTGTGAAGAGGATTTTAAGCGACATAACCTTTTCTATTTTCTTTTTGCTTTACTCATTTCTTTTTAGTTTTTCTTTATTTAATTCTTAATTTGCTTTTCACTTTGTTCATATCTATCTATCTATCTATCTATACATACATACATACATATTTTTATATATTTTTTCAAACTTGCTTTAAACAAAATTCCCAGCAAAATTTAGAAAATATTGAAAAATTAACATTTTGTAATATTAAATACTCCCAAGTCCTTTTCCATTACATTTTATATAAAGGCTAATTGAGATTTAAATTGTATAATATAATTTAACTCTTTTTCTTTGGGTAAATATTGAATTTTTTATATGATGGTATTATATAATTATATTGTTGAGGAGAGGGTACAAAAGAATTGAAAAACAATCATGCCAGTGAGAATTGTAACGGTCGAGTGTAGACGCCATATTGACGCATGACCAATAATTAATCCTAACTTCTTTGATAAGAATGATCGAAAGCGAAAAATGTGATCTTTTTGGAGCCGGTTTCAAATGGTAATATCTTCTCCATTATTTTTAAAAAAACGCCAGTGACATTTTTTCCTCTAACCATAAGAATTTGTAGTTTTATCAAATTCATTTTTAGAGATTATTCGGATGAGGAAAATTTATCATGAAAGATCTGGAAAACAAAGATAATGAAGTCGCATTTATGGCAAGATTTCAAGAAAGAAATCAGAAGAAAAATCAAAGTACGATGAAAATATAATTAATAAGAAGGAGAGGGAGATAATAATAATAATAATAATAATAATAATAATAATAATAAGAAGAAGAAGAAGAAGAAGACGGCGTGGAAGAAGAAATGGTTCTCATGGTTTCTGATCGTAATTGATTGAAGGTGTTAACATGTACATATTTTGTCTTGGTGAAGATGCGCTACAGTACATATCACGTTCAATACCAAAGATTTGTTTGTCATTTGACTGACCTTACCCAGCTGTTGTTAAGGAGCTCGTGTAGTGAGGGAAAACCATAATCGAATGTCGACGGTGTTGATTTTTTTAAGTTTGTAGGATGAAGCAGTCAAAACGACTTGGAACTCACATCTAGATACTTAGGAACACCCTCAGTCTGAGACCGGACTAGATACCTGACCGGAAGTTATTTCTGACTAGCCTTTGTCAGTATATCGCGCACATTTGGATATGTTGCAATTGCCTGGTATACTTTTATCAAACTGGTTGTCATGATGGGTACATTGAGTTTCATATATAGTTGCATCCCAGTGTAACTTTGAAGGCCTGCTGCTCTCTCATTCAATGATGAATGAATGAATGACACATTTGGGATGAAAAAAGTGGGGTGATACAGATAAAAAAGGGATTATTCGAAAACGAGATAAAGATACAGAGGTTAAGTGAGTAAGTGGGTGAGTGTGTGTGCGTGTGTGAGAGAGAAAGTTTGAAAGAGAGAGTAAGAATATCAGATCTAAAAAGAGACGTGTAACAATATTTTTTATTGACTGATTTGTTTTTTTACGGCTTATCAACCTTTTCAAGGTTATTTAAAGTCGAAACATATTTTGGGATTATAAGAATTTGGGAGAGATAATAATGATTTTCGTATACAGGTTTTACTGTTTAACCAAGAGATGGGAGGAAAAGAGGTGGATTCATATATTTCCCAAGAGTTTTTGCACGTAAGTGGCTGTAACGAACCCGACTGGAATTGGAACTCGGCTCTCCGATTTCACATTCCGAACCGTTATCCATTACACCACCCGCACATCAAAGCTTTTAGCACCTGGTATTCCCGAGCGGTCATCCCTCTAGGGACTGAGCAGGTTCAACGTTGATTAATAATAACGGTAGAGACCCACCTTTATATTGGAGATAATTAGTTGTCAGAAGGTCAATGTTCGAGCTCCGGTAAACTATCAGGATTTTGAATATATAGTTTATGGCAAAAAAGATTAACTTACTTGCATCATAATCTTTTTTTCATTTAGCTCTGTGCAGAGCCATATTAAGTGTCAGTAATATCGATGGCTTTGCATTGTGGCTGAGGTGGTTGCGTCTCATTGAATGTCGGTGTTCGACTACTGTCACCAGAAAAAGATCAGAATGTTGAATACTGATGTAAAAGACATATTTTCCATGTTCATTTGTGTCCCGCATAAGTCAAGCCTAGACGATATCTATAGGAGGATGTCTGCTCGGAATACCGGAAGGACAAAATAGTATTTTCGGGCGGTTTTGAAAAGTCGACGGGAAGGTGTGTAAGAGTTCAAAGTAGTACATTGAAGAGGACTAAGACGCAATTGCCCTAGGCAGGCTGCATAATTTCTGGACATGCCTCGCACGTGCTGGTGAAAATGAGTAAATGATTTTCTATCTATCTATCTATCTATCTATCTATCTATCTATCTATCTATCTATCTATCTATCTATCTATCATTTTTCTCTTGTTTTTGCTCATACTGTCTCAGAAAAGAAAGAAAGAAGATAAAAAAGGAAAGCAAATTGAATGAGGTGATGAATGAATTGTCGATAGGAATCAACACGATATTGGGAGAGACGAGGCTGAGTTAATTCGGAATTACGATAGCTGAGACACAAGTTGAGCGGCGATATGAATACGTAATGCTTTTTGGAGAATTGGAAGAATTTGTGGAGTTGGGTGAAGAAAGATGTCGGAAGAGATTGGAGGATAAGAAATAGGAATAAATGACGAGTAAAAGCGAAGAAAAAGAGAAAGTTAATGAAAAGGAAGAAATTATTGGAGAGAGAGAGAGAGAATGAGAGCTAATAAAAGCAAGGGAAAGAGAGAAACGGAGTGGCAATGTGAATTGACTGAAGAAAGAGTAGAGGTGAGAGAAGAACAGGAAGAACCACAGAGGGAAAGAGAAAAGAATTGATTATGGCATGTAAGGTAGAAATGAAGAGAAAGGAAGGAAAAGAAAAAGGAAAGAACAAATACAAAAAAGAAAAGAAAAGGAGTCAAAAGATGAAATAAGGAAAACAAATTTTAAAAAAGAAAGAAAGAATAAAAAAAAAAGTCAAATAAAAGACGGGGTACATGAGAAAAAAAGAAGGAAAAAATACAAGTAAAGAACCAAACTGAGAAATAAGGAAAAAGTGAAATAAAAAAAAAAAACGAAAAAAAAGAAAAAGCCGAAAAAATGTAAAAAACATACAAGCTAAATAAATGAATGAATAAATAAACAAACAAAACAAAATAAAAAGAAACAACTTGATTTCTTTAACTCAACTTCGTTTTTCTAAACTTCATGTGTTATTCAGTGTGGTATTACATCAGGTCACCAGAAGAGTGTTCTGTGTAAGATTACATGAAGATTAATGAATGTGACACATACCTGAAGAAGGTTGGAAAGTATATCGGTTGAAATGTTATAATAAAAGTAATAAAGATGCAGATGACAGTCTGAAACAATTATAGAATAATAAGAAAAAAAAAAAAAACAGTCGCATATGAAATACAAAAAATGTATGTGTGTGTGCGTGCGTATGAAAGTGAGATTAGATGAAGGAAAAGATAATTCATAAAAGGAAGAGAAACTATATAAAAAGAGGGGAGAAAAGGGATTGAAAGGTGGGAAAAGGAAGAATAAAAAGAGAGAAATACGTAAAAAGGAGAACGAATGTGGCCGAAAGAGAGATAAGAGGGAGTGAGATAGACAATTTATAAAAGAAAGAAAGAGAAACAAAATATGAAAAGGAGAAAGAAAGAATGAAATTGATAAGAGAGAAAGAGAGAGCTATAAAGATTAGAGACTACTGCAAAGAAAAGGATATTTAAAGAGTAGTAGAGGCAGCAATGAAAATGTAGTTTGTGGTTCTGGGGGGGGGGGAAGAAGGGGCAGATAGCAAATTGATTAATTCGTGCAAACACCATTTTGTATTTGTCATGTAAAGCAGAAAATTTGTTTTCTTCTTGGTTTTGTTCGAAAGATGCAAATGAATCTCATTTGCGCTTTTGGCAAATTTAGTGATAAGAGAGAGGCTGGAGATTTGTTATTAATCGAAGGAAGCGATTTACAAAGAACACGCAGACATAAGCACATAGAGGCTGAACCGATCTCACATAGTCGCACACACATACATGCAAATATAGACACATCTACCAGATATAGGCAAACATACAGAAAAAGATTTAAATACATACACCCATGCCTACACAAAGAGGAGAGGTAATGAGAAAAGAGAAAACATTCGCCTACATATGTATACCATGACAGAGTATTCTGTGTAGAGTGATGGTTAAAACCTAGTCTTGCAGATGATTGTTTTTAAGTTTGATCCTCACTGGGCACTCCAATATTTTGATTTTATGAGAAATTTCGCTAAATACAAAATAAATAAGCGACTGTTGTAGAGTAACGGTTAAAAAGTCTTGAGCCATAGAATCTGCAAGCTGAAAATAATGGTTGAAACAACAAAGATTAATATAATTTTGTGGATGTTTAGTTAATAAGTCCGAATTCAAGACAACGCATGTTTAATCCAGTTGCGAATGTTAATCATATGGTGAAAATTTTAGATAACAACTACTTGTAAGGAGACTAAGTTAAAAAACTTGAAGACTAAATTAAAAATACGTTGGAGTTTGTTGCTTTCATAATGTTCCATGACCTTTTGGAGAGTCACGAAGCCATCTCTTCTTAGCTATAAATAGCCTGATAGATTAGGCTACTAGGGTCACCAGTCTTTGAGAAGGAAAACTCAGAATTCAAACATCCTGCCAACGCATGTAAGACCCATTACTATGTCTGTTTGAATGTCTCAGTAGACAACAGACTAAGAAAATGACTTCTAACACACACACACACACACACACACACACACACACACACACACACACACACACACACACACACACACACACACACACACAGCGTTTCACGTTATTAGCCACTTCATATTTTATCAATATATAAAAGAAATACTTTCAAGAAAGTGGGCGATCATGGCTCTTCACAACTTCTTATTCCTTGTAGTTTATATTCTGCCATCAATTTACGCATGGTATGTTAAATACGTTATTTGCTATTTCCCACTACCCATTTTGTCTTCAATATGTCGAGTGTGTGTAAAATTCTCAAGCCACTTTCCTCACGTTATTTGCCCCATTAATTTCAACTGCTGTTTTCTGATTCTAAGTATAAGCACCCTTTTTGTTCCCATTTTTCTGAAAACTTCCTCGTTGCTCACATCTTCTGTCTATGGTATTCTCAGCACCCTTCTGAAGAACTACATCTCTGTAGCCTCAAGTTTCGTTTTCATCCGTTGTCCAACATTTATTGCAACATAGGATGGTTGATATCACATAATTGTTCAGCATTCTTTTTTTTTTTTTTTGTTTGTAACGAAATTTTCCTGTTTCTTAACATTTTCTTTAGCTTTTAGGAAACAGCTTTCGTTATTTCAATACGCCTTCGGATATCGGTGTCAAATTTTCTGTCCTCTGTTAAAATACTTCCTAGATAGTTGCATTTATGTTTGCTTGATTTTGATGTCTCCAATTTGGAGCTCACATCTTGAGTTGTTCCTCTTGTTAATTACTGTCATCTTACTGTTTTTTTAAAAATTTTATCCAAACCTATGCTTTATAAACTGTGTATATGTTCTGTAATTATAATTCTTAATAGCAACATAATGTTTCTTGGAGTTTCATTAACCTGACTAATAACGTGAAACTTGGAAACCCAAACCTGGTCAGCTTCATAAATCGTAACAGCGATATGCAATCTATTAAAATTTACAAGTTGTGAAATATTCAGCATATTAATAGTGCAAATATTTCGGTGAACCTATTTTAAGTTTTCTAAAATTAGAAAAATTTAAGGTGGCAAATTAAACGCCGAAAAATTTTACTTGTAAGTTGAATTTATTTTTGGTTTTATCTATTGTAAAATTAGTTCTAGCAACTTTTTGATACTGAGTTCTCATTCTGTTTAAAAACAACAAAACCGACAACAAAAAGCCAACAAACAAACATAAGCCAAAATTATCGATATTTATTGAATATTTATAGAATTTATGCTATACAATATTAAGAGGAACAATTCCTTTAATAAGCATTTCAATCTCTACGTAGGCCGGTTGATATTAATTTTAATGTTTGAAAAACAAATGTGTGTACCGATTAAATATAACGTTTATAATAATAATAATAATAATAATAATAATAATAATAATAATAATAATAATAATAAATGCATACATTTTTATTACTTCAAACGTTATCTTTGGCGGTACCCGTATTTGAGTAGAACGTCCTTTTTTAAAAAAGTGTTTATTTCTATTTGCACTATTTACACTGTTAAGACTGCAGTTCTAATCTTTATTATCATATTCCCGACGTTTCGAGCATTGTACGCTCCAACCTTATTCAGGTGATATACATTGGAATTTCGATCCGAACCCTTTATTTCATCCATTGGTGTAGCTTGTTCTAGTTCCACGTGCCGTGCCTTTTTTGAATCTACCCCAGTATACAAAATAAAGGGTTGGTTCAAAATTCCAACGTATATCACCTGAAGAAGGCTGGAGCGTACAACGGTCGAAATGCCTTGAATATGACAATAACGATGAGGACAACAGTCCGAACAATGTAAATAGTGTAAATAGTTACAATAACTCATCGTAGAAATATAGACATGTATTTATTTTGTCTACCGGCCTGTGCATTCGAGGAAAATTAATACAGACATACATACATACGTACATACAACATAATGAATCAATGGATTTCTTATTTCTTCTTCTAGGGGAGAGAGAGAGAGATAGAGAGAGAGAGAGAGAGAGAGAGAGAGAGAGAGAGAGAGAGAGAGAGAATATCTTAGCACGTGGTGTATTTCTCAAGGAAAAAAAACTTTTATATCAAATTAGTTTCATGATTTTCGAGATGGATTGACGTATCCAGTAAGAAACGGGAAACAATGTACAGTCGACGGAGTAACTGATTTATCAATCTGTTGAAATTATTCGTACTTCAGGGTTTCATTATATATATATATCCTTTTCTAATAACTATAAAAAAATTTAAAGTATATGTGTGCGTGTGTAGCAGGGAAGAGAGAGAGAGAGAGAGAGAGAGAGAGAGAGAGAGAGAGAGGTTAGAGAGAATGATATAAAGCAAAAAGAAACAAAACTAACGGAGATCTGCTAGAATCATCTTTAGGCAAAGAATTTTGTCCGCACAAGGTTCATTTGCGAATGGCTAACACGCCATCTTTAATTTAAAAAATGTATCATCCACACAAAAATTTAGATATATTTTACATTTTTATAAATTCAATTGCGTCAGATTTCCGCGTTTACTTTCGTTTTTATCGCTTAAATTGACATCTGGCATCACCTTTTTCATGTCTCCTGTTCAACTTCTCCGCTCGCTGCTTCCTCGCCTTTTTGTTGAAGTTAATAAGCATGGGAAACAAATCATTACAAGCAGCAACCTTTTCATAAACATCTTGGCGATTAGCGTCCTTTGCCGCGTCTCCTATTTCTATTTGGAGTCTTTTTTGTTTTAATTTTTGCAACGATTCGTCATTCTGAATTTTATAAATCAATTTACATCTATCGAAAAATATTAATTTGATATTTTACTTTCATCCATATTCATTTCTGTAATTTTCTTTATGCTCGGACGGATATATATATATATATATATATATATATATATATATGTGTGTGTGTGTGTGTGTGTGTGTGTGTGTGTGTGTGTGTGAATGTGTGTGTGTTGTGATTTTGGTTATTTTAACATTTTCAAACAGACATTTCTCTTTCTATCGAAATTTCGCTCTAAAAATAACTGGTAGTTTTCAGTGGAGATCAAGTGATAGCAAACTTTCGCATTACTTCAGTAGATTTATCTTTATTCCCGCCATTATCAATAATGCTGTTTTCTGGCTGGCTTTGAATGTTATTTTTTTTTTTACAAATATCTTCAGGATCATTCTAAGATTTCCAACAACTGTCTTCCTTCATATTTTTCAATGAATATTTACCAATTTTTCATTTTTACTCCACAGTCCACTATTTGCCAAATTTTCTTTCCTTCTTTAAGATAAGTAGAATCTGTTCTTTTTATCCTGCATTCGGTGATACATTTAAAGTCCCAGAGAAAATTATATTTGTTATTTTTATTGACATGTTCTAGTTTGTGCAAATACCTTTCATTTTTTATGACTAAATTTCTCATGTGCTACATTTTTGAGATTTCGATTTCAAGGTCATTGTATTTTGATAGTTTTTTTGAAGCTCTTCAAAGATACATTGCAGTCTGCAGGGACTGCCATGTCAATAAGGAGGCACATTTTGTCTTTACGGTCTCTAATCACGATGTCAGAGCTATTAGCTTTGATTAACTTTTATTATTATTATTATTATTATTATTATTATTATTATTATTATTATTATTATTATTATTATCATCATCATTCGATTTTTGTTATGGACACACTACCTACTAAGTCTGCGGAAAGACCTAAGGCAGGTCGTGGTGTTGTTATGGCCACATTTCATGTTAATTTTTTTTTTTTTTTTTTTTTTTTATCTCCGATGAAGTTGCTAGCGTTACATAGACAAAGTTCTCCTTAGTGTGTGTGCTGTACTTAATAAGACAATTTTCTGTATGTCTCTTAAGCTGGGGTTTCCAGGATTCTTTCAATGTGTTGTTTTGTTCCATTTTTTATAATTCCAAGTGCACCTATTACCACTGGTATTATTCTTGTTTTCAATTTTCATTTTTTTCTATTTCAATTTCCAGGTCTTTGTATTTTGATAGTTTTTCAAATTTGGTTGCTTTATTATTATTATCATTATTATTATTATTATCATTATTATTATTATTATTAGTAGTAGTAGTAGTATTTGTACTAATTAGGTTTTCACGCCAGATGTTCCTACTGTTAAATAATGCTGAAAACACTGATTTCCGTTTTATCACTGAAGTTAAGCAGGTTCTAACCTGGTCAGTGAGGGAGACCGTTTGAGGACACCGGGTATTGTAAACAACCTGATAAGCTGTAAAAACAAGTCAATCAATCAATCAATCAATCACGCCAAATGAATCTGGTTGTTCTATATTAGAGAACAAGTGACAGTAAATCTCTTCATCAATCTAGCACTTTTCACACTATTTTTGTAAAGTTTAGTGATGGTTTCAATTCTGACTCCGATTTCCAATTCTCCAAAATTGCTTCAATAATGATAGGCACGACCTTTATTTTATAAGGTCTAGGTTGAGTCGGGTTGACAGTGTGTTTTTTTTTCTTCTTCTTCTTCTTCTTCTTCTTCTTCTTCTTCTTCTTATTATTATTATTATTATTATTATTATTATTATTATTATTATTATTATTTTCACGCATAACGCATTATAAAAAGCAAACCTGGATTTCAACATATTTTGATTTTGCTAAAATTGCGTCTTTCATCCTAATTTGGATTTTTCTCTTCCTCTTCGATTTACTTTTCTTTCCTTTGTCGTTTTTTCTCTTTCTTTTCACTTATGCCCTCCTTATTATTTGCTCCTCTTTTTTTCTGGTTTCTTTTTCATTTCTCTTTTTCATTCCTTCCAGTTTTCATTCATTTTTTTTAATTTTTTCAATATTCAGCAAAGTAATATCGCTGAAGAGTTATAGAGTAGAGAGGGTGAACTTTACTGGGCGTCGCCCGATTTTGGTCTTGTGCTAGATTAAACTCATCTTGTTAAATGTCTACAGGATTCTAATTCTTTTCCCAAAAATCTTTTCATTTATTACTGTTTTTTTTTTTACACAGCGGCTTATTTTTTATATTTCCAAAAACTCGTCATCCTTGATACCTTTGATTTTTCTTTTTTACTGAACTTTTGAGCTGGTCTTTATGTAAGGTTTATCGTAACTGCTGTTCAGTGGAGACGGGAAAAAAAAAAACAGTTATTCAAAAAATCCCGTCACGATTCAAACCTGTCATGATTTCTTTGGGTTTTATATGTTTTTTCAACGAATTCCTGTCTTTCCCCGTTTCTCCGGTCAAGATTGCAGCGTTAAGGAGTTGCTTCATTCTCTGTGGATTTTTTTTTACCAATTACAGTCACTTTCAATTGATGGCACTGGACAGATAAGTCGGAATTCGTCGCTAGAGTTTCTGCAATGTCTTGATTCGTCCAAGAAGGAAAAACAACGAAGGCATTATTAAGTTTCAACTTGTCAAGATTTTGATTGCTTATTGTTACTAATTTATATATATATATATATATATATATATATATATATATATATATATATATGTGTGTGTGTGTGTGTGTGTGTTCATACGTATGAATATGTTTTATTGAATTCAACCGACAAGGCCTGTCTGTTCAATTTATCATTACATATTCCCCGTCCAAATCAAATTTTTTAAGAAACTGTCTAAATTTCATAAAGTTTTATTCAAGTATTTTCGACCATCGCTAGTCATTATACACAACATTAATATTATAAAAAAAACAAACAAACATAAAAATTAACTTTGGAATCCTTTCTGTACTGGACATGAGCTTTTATTAATTCAGTCGTATACACACAGACACAGACACACAGACACAGACACACAGACACACACAGACACACACACACACACACACACACACACACACACACACACACACACACACACACACACACACATATATATATATATATATATATATATATATATATATATATATATATGTTAAATAAATTGTAGCGATAAATGTTCCCTAGTATCATTGAATGACATGTATAAGCATCAGTCTTTTTCACATGTGCTAATAACACAGCCACCTCCAACCTCTGACCTTATTTTTATATGTTAGCGTAGATGTGACGTTTATTGGTCAATCTAGATATATACCCTTAAGTATATTTTTAATCCTGACCTTATGCCCCCCTTTAACTTACGAAAAGAGGTAGAGTTTTTTTTTAATTCCCCAATAAATCATTTTTATCATTAATTATCTACAATCGACTGAAGAGGTACCATCATAGTACCGAAACATGAAATTTTTTGTGTAGCGATGTAAAATATTTCTCATTTGGATATATATATATATATATATATATATATATATATATATATATATATATATATACCAGATGTATGTATAACAACAACAAAAACATACCCCTTGAAAATGGCTAAAGAGGTGTCCGAAAGGGCATGAGACAATAAAAATTATTGTCTGCCGTATTTGATAAAAGTTATTTAAAAAATTTTGTTGCCCAAATATATATATATATATATATATATATATATATATATAAAGGAATTCTAATTACCGCAAAAACCACATAGATTCCTGGTAATGACTGCAATGGTCGAAAGTACTTGAACAAAACAATAACACAATATTAACTTCGGACAGTCTATTCACAACTTCGTGCCAAATACACAACACCTTATTCAAAGATTAGAGAAATATAATAAAAATAAACAGATAGACGTTGGTTTTTTTGTTTTTTTGTTTTAAATCAGACTTGTTTATATATATATATATATATATATATATATATATATATATATATATATATATATATATATATAATTTCATTAAAGACGGCTCGCGTGTTACTACGATTAATCTAAGACCTGTGATAAAAATTTAATCAATAAAGTCATTTTAGTTTTTCTTTTAAAATAATTTTCTACAAAGAACGAAATAACGTTAAACACTCATCAGAAATAGATTTCCTAATGATATTATCGACGAAGCAATAATGTTTTATTTATAGAATAATAGTAACTCTTATAAAATTTCCAAACCAAGTAGAAAAAATAACAAAATTTATTCTATTGGAATCACACGCATTCAAAGTACAAACAAGACCTAATTGCTATTAAAGATATAATCCATAGATACATAAAAATAACTGTTAGCAATAAACATCTACGATTCATTATTTATTTAAAATTTACTAATAATTTTGTATAAAATTAAATTCTTTATATAAGAACAGTATTGTTTATATATTGACTTGATCTATTGGAGATCGTATTTGTGAAAATTGTAATAAAAAATCCATTATAGGTTATACAACCACAACTCTCATGTTGGCTCACCTGTCATATTCCCGTCCAAACTGCTCTGCGACAACGTATCTTACTGACACAACATTATAATAATATAGACAACTCATTTTGAATAAAAAATAATCTGACCATTGTTATCTATTTAAAATAAAATAAAAAATATGTTTAAAAGATTGCAAATTTTAGAATCTATTCATGTTAATTCCATATAACAACCAACAAAATTGCTTATGATTCTAAATAGGCATTCTAAAAGTAGTTAAATTTTTAGAATCGACCTGAGGTTACGGTCACACAACGGTCACACGACACCACATA